GCAGATTACTGCACTATTGTAATAATTGTATAAATAATGTCAACCCATTAACGACTGCATATTGGAATGGACAGTGACGTCATTTGTTTACTCTTGAACATCGCCAAAGAATCAAACATTTCTACTACTTTGAGCTAAGTTTCAAGGTACTTTTTGTCATGAAACCAATCAAAATCATATCTATTTCTGTAATATATCTTCTATTCTATCAAATGAGACTAAAAAAACGAGAATACAACCATAAAAACCATACGAAAATACTGCTAAGGGGAGGCTAAAATTTCAGATAAGGTTCTCCAGGTCTTTTTCATATCACCTTTAATGTCATGAAATCTCTTTTCGTAATGCAATTTTTTTGTACCCAGGGGGGTACTACCGTCCTGTTACCATCATGTTTTACATGATGGTAGGATTGCTGGTGTCTTTTGTCTGTCTCATAAATATGCAAGATTACAGTACGTCTTGCTACTTCTACTTACACTTAGGTCACACTACACATACATGTACATGTTTATTTATACACACTCATCTGAGTTTTCTATGATTTTATTTTAATAGTTCTTGGTCTTATTACTTTTCCTTCTATATCCATGGGGAAGTGGAATAAGAATCTTTCCTCCGTAACCCATGCATGTTGTAAAAGTCAACTAAAATGCCGGGAACAATGGGCTAGTAACCCCTTTTCCTGTAAAAATTACTAAAAAGAATAAGAAGAAGAAAATTGTCAAAGTGGGAAGTCTGAATGTGAGTGGATGTTGTACAAATGATAAGAAAGAGATGATTGTGGATGTTATGAATGAGAAGAAGCTGGATGTCCTGGCTTTAAGTGAAACAAAGCTGAAAGGGGTGGGAGAGTTTCAGTGGAGAGGAATAAATGGGATTAGGTCAGGGGTTTCAAATAGAGTTACAGCTAAAGAAGGAGTAGCAATAATGTTGAAGGATAAGTTATGGCAGGAAAAGAGGGACTACAAATGTATTTATTCAAGGATTATGTGGAGTAAAATAAAGGTTGGATGTGAAAAGTGGGTTATAGTAAGCGTATATGCGCCTGGAGAAGAGAGAAGTGTAGAGGAGAGAGAGAGATTTTGGGAAATGTTGAGTGAATGCGTGGGGAGTTTTGAACCAAGTGTGAGAGTAATGGTGCTTGGGGATTTCAATGCTAAAGTCGGCAAAAATGTTGTAGAGGGAGTAGTAGGTAATTTTGGGGTGCCAGGGGTAAATGAAAATGGGGAGTCTTTAATTGAGTTATGTATAGAAAGAGGTTTGGTAATAAGTAATACGTATTTTATGAAGAAGAGGATAAATAAATATACAAGGTATGATAGAGCACGTAATGAAAGTAATTTGTTGGATTATGTATTGGTGGATAAAAGGTTGACGGGTAGGCTCCAGGATGTACACGTTTATAGAGGGGCAACTGATATATCGGATCATTATTTAGTTGTAGCTACAGTTAGAGTAAGAGGTAGATGGGAAAAGAGGAAAATGACAACAACAAGCAAGAGGGAGGTGAAAGTGTATAAACTAAGGGAGGAGGAAGCTTGAGTGAGATATAAGCAACTATTGGCAGAAAGGTGGGCTGGTGCAAGTATGAGTAGTGGGGGGTTGAAGAGGGTTGGAATAGTTTTAAAAATGCAGTATTAAAATGTGGGGCAGAAGTTTGTGGTTACAGGAGAGTGGGGGCAGGAGGAAAGAGGAGTGATTGGTGGAATGATGAAGTAAAGGGTGCGATAAAAGAGAAAAAGTTAGCTTATGAGACGTTTTTACAAAGCAGAAGTGTTATACGAAAAGTAGAGTATATGGAGAGTAAAAGAAAGGTGAAGAGAGTGGTGAGAGAGTGCAAAAGGAGAACAGATGATAGAGTGGGAGGGGCACTGACAAGGAATTTTAATGAAAATAAGAAAAAATTTTGGAGTGAGTTAAACAAGTTAAGAAAGTCTAGAGAACGAATGGATTTGTCAGTCAAAAACAGAGTAGGGGAGTTAGTAGATGGGGAGATGGAGGTTTTGGGTAGATGGCGAGAATATTTTGAGGAACTTTTAAATGTCGACAAAGAAAGGGAAGCGGTAATTTCATGCACTGGCCAGGGAGGTATACCATCTTTTAGGAGTGAAGAAGAACAGGATGTGAGTGTGGGGGAGGTGCGTGAAGCATCACGTAGAATGAAAGGGGGTAAAGCAGCTGGAACTGATGGGATCATGACAGAAATGTTAAAAGCAGGGGCAATACAGTGTTGGAGTGGTTGGTATTTTTGTTTAATAAATGTATGAAAGAGGGGAAGGTACCTAGGGATTGGTGGAGAGCGTGTATAGTCCCTTTACATAAAGGGAAGAGGGACAAAAGAGATTGTAAAAATTATAGAGGAATAAGTTTAATGAGTATACCAGGAAAAGTGTACGGTAGGGTTATAATTGAAAGAATTAGAGGTATGACAGAATGCAGGAATGCGGATGAGCAAGGAGGTTTCAGAGTGGGTAGGGGATGTGCAGATCAAGTGTTTACATTGAGGCATATATGTGAACAGTATTTAGATAAAGGTAGCGAAGTTTTTATTGCATTTATGGATTTAGAAAAGGCATATGATAGAGTGGATAGGGGAGCAATGTGGCAAGTATATGGAATAGGTGGTAAGTAACTAAATGATGTAAAGAGTTTTTATGAGGATAGTGAGGCTCAGGTTATGGTGTGTAGAAGAGAGGGAGACTACTTCCCAGTAAAAGTAGGTCTTAGACAGGAATGTGTAATGTCACCGTAGTTGTTTAATATATTTATAGATGGGGTTGTAAAAGAAGTAAATGCTAGGTTGTTCGGGAGAGAGGTGGGATTAAATTACAGGGAATCAAATACAAAATGGGAACTGACACAGTTGCTTTTTGCTGATGATACTGTGCTCATGGGAGATTCTAAAGAAAAATTGCAAAGGTTAGTGGATGAGTTTGGGAGTGGGTGTAAAGGTAGAAAGTTGAAAGTGAACATAGAAAAGAGTAAGGTGATGAGGGTGTCAAATGATTTAGATAAAGAGAAATTGGATATCAAAGTGGGGAGGAGGAGTACGGAAGAAGTGAATGTTTTCAGATACTTGGGAGTTGACGTGTTGGTGGATGGATTTATGAAGGATGAGGTTAATCATACAACTGATAAGAGAAAAAAGGTGAGTGGTGCATTGAGGTATATGTGGAGACAAAAACGTTATCTATGGAGGCAAAGAAGGGAATGTATGAAAGTATAGTAGTACCAACACTCTTATATGGGTGTGAAGCTTGGGTTGTGAATGCAGCTGCGAGGAGGCGGTTGGAGGCAGTGGAGATGTCTTGTCTAAGGGCAATGTTTGGTGTAAATATTATGCAAAAAATTCGGAGTGTGGAAATTAGGAGAAGGTGTGGAGTTAATAAAAGTATTAGTCAGAGGGCTGAAGAGGGGTTGTTGAGGTGGTTTGGTAATTTAGAGAGAATGGATAAAAGTAGAATGACATGGAGAGCATATAAATCTGTAGGGGAAGGAAGGCGGGGTAGGGGTCGTCCTCGAAAAGGTTGGAGGGAGGGGGCAAAGGAGGTTTTGTGGGCGAGGGGTTTGGACTTCCAGCAAGCATGCATGAGTGTTAGATAGGAGTGAATGGAGACGAATGGTATTTGGGACCTGACGATCTGTTGGAGAGTAAGCAGGGTAACATTTAGTGAAGGGATTCAGGGAAACCAGTTATTTTTATATAGCCGGACTTGAGTCCTGGAAATGGGAAGTACAATGCCTGCACTCTAAAGGAGGGGTTTGGGATATTGGCAGTTTGGAGGGATATGTTGTGTATCTTTATACATATATGCTTCTAAACTGTTGTGTTCTGAGCACCTCTGCAAAAACAGTGATTATGTGTGAGTGAGGTGAAAGTGTTGAATGATGATGAAAGTATTTTCTTTTTGGGTATTTTCTTTCTTTTTGGGTCACCCTGCCTCAGTGGGAGACAGCCGACTTGTTAAAAAAAAAAAAGTTAGATTAGTTTAGTATTGACGAGTAACATTTTGCCAGATCCTTTGTTATTAGATCCGTTCTGTACTGTTTTTCATACAGATGTTTTTTATCAATAGATTTGAGGATGTTTGTAAGCCATAGGCTATTTAGTCTCTTTGTTGTTATTTGCTTAGGTTTTATTGGGCAATGCCTATTATAGAGGTTTTGGGTGTTTTGTAAAAAAAATATTAACACATTCATCAATATCAAGGTTGACTGCTTGCTCATTCTGCCAGTCGATGTTACTTAATGCTGCAATAAAGTTACTAACTGATGACTCATCATGTAATCAGAAGATGATCTTACTTGTGTCCTGGGGCTATTTACATAAGTTGGTTATGAGAAAGGTGGGATAGTGGTCAGTGATGTTATCTGTGATTATGCCTGCTTTTAATGGGGATATAGTGTTTGTCCAGATATGGTCAAGTAAAGAGGCACTTGTCTCGGAGATTCTTGTAGGTTTTATTATAGTTGGCAGAAGCAAGCAGTTGCTCATAGTGTTTGTGAATTAAGTTACTTGTGCATCATAGTCATGGATGAGATTTATGTTGAAGTCAATTGTAAGTATCAGGTGGTGTTTATTCATCCCTGTGTCAGTTATCATGTTTCTTAGGTTTTCACTAAATGAGTAAATATTGGAGTGAGGTACTCTGTAGACTGCTCCAACTGTTAAAAGTTTTTTAAAGGATTTTGGATTTAAATTTAGCAAATGTATATTCACCATATTCATCCCTAGTGCAAATAGATTTTAAAACTGTACTATAGTTCAGTTAGCTACCTCATGAAATGCACTGCATGCTAGTGGCTTTGTGCTTAACAATAAAATGAATTTTCCCTAATTTTGTTACAGGCACTGGGAATCCACAACAATATTTAATGTACAGGTTTTGGGTGAATTGTTCCAGCCATGGTATTGTGACTTTTTATTTTTAACAGTATGCAGAAATTTTCCTTCTCTTCTACATAAAACATGAAAATAAATTTCTAAAAGTACTCACCTTTTATGGGTTTAATGGCCACTTTGTGCCAGATTCTAGATACTGAGTATCTTATTCTGTGAAAAAACTTCATTTCAGTCAAGGCAATCATGAGGTAGAACACAATTCCTTCCACACCCATGAAGACCAACATCCTGCCAATGCCAAGCTTTTCCCAGGCCAGAAAATCTTCATTCCAGCTCACACAACCAAAGGTGCCACATTTGTCAGCTTCTACAACAGAAAGAAAATACACAAAATTGTAATAAATTCTTTGTAAATGCTGTAGTTAACTAATTTGTTTTATTTGCTATGGATTCAATAAAAGGTATCTTGTGTAACTCATAAAACTCACCCCCTGTGCCCCAATGAACACAAAAGTCACAGTACAATTCAAATGCTACCAAATATATAAAAAAAAAAAAGATCTGTACCTCAAACAAAAAACACAGAATGTGGCATAAGTTTCTAGTGACAGATATTATTGCTGAATATTTGAAGAATGGAATCTAATATCACTTTTCTACATTAAATGGCAAAGTGACACCAACACAGCCCAAAATCAATCTGAATCTTCCACTAAGCAAACAAATGAACTTCATTTCTATAATGTGGAAAACAGTATATCATATAATTAGGGTGATTGACATATACAGTGGACCCCCGCTTAACGATCACCTCCAAATGCGACCAATTATGTAAGTGTATTTATGTAAGTGCGTTTGTACGTGTATGTTTGGGGGTCTGAAATGGACTAATCTACTTCACAATATTCCTTATGGGAAAAAATTCGGTCAGTACTGGCACCTGAACATACTACTGGAATGAAAAAAGTTCGTTAACCGGGGGTCCACTGTATTATTACTTTATAGAAATCCTCTTGTTAAGAAAAGTATTTTGAGCAGCCTTAAAACTTTAAAAATATATGAGAATAAGAATTCATAGTTTTTAAGCCCTTGATTGTTGCAACCCCAAATCCTGAGGTGTCTCCTGGTGTTGCAAAATCCCCCCCCCCCCCAAAAAAAAAAAAAAAAATTATTTTCTTCTTAGGAAATGATAGAGAATCTTTTCCCAATTGTAATGACACCAACAGAACGAAAATTGATGGAAAACTGACGGAATTACGCTCTCGCGAAGTTAGCGACCTCGGTGATATTTACAAATCGGCAATTTTGCCCATTAACCCCTTGACTGTCGAAACCCCAAATCCTGAAGTGTCTCCTGGTGTCGAAAAATATTAAAAAAAAAAAAAAAATTTTTCTTATGAAAATGTTAAGATTATTTTTCTGTTTGTCTTAGTCCCCAAAAAAAAAAAAAAGATTTGCCACCAGTACTTACCAAGATATAGAGACAAAATTGGCAGAAAATGAGCCGTGTATGGCAACAGCAGCGACTGTTGCTCACCTGGTAAACTTTGGTTTACTTGTATTCGAAGGTTTCTTGTTTTTTCACTATTTTATTTTTTCATATAACTTATGTGGCCTGTGAGTCCAAAGTAAGGTACAATGTACATGTATATACACTCGTTGTATACAACACAATAAGCACACAAACATAATTATCAATATATTGTTTACAAAACTTAACTCAAACAATAAAAAAAATTGTTTATTACTATTGTTTTATAATATACATGTATATACAAATGTACAGTCACTGGACATGTTCCTAGAAGTTCGGCAGCTTGTGGAACTCTTTGAAACATGGTTCCATACACAATGATGTTTTACAACTCCTTTACGCATAAAACGGTGTGTGCCTGCATTATGTGAATGAAAGTTTTTTTTTATCTGTCAAAGACAAACACCTTGTCTGAGCAGTTTTCTTCAAAGTATTAGCAGGCAGTTGTGTTACGTAGTTATCCTAGGTAAATGGTCGTGTGTCATCATTCCTTCCTTCCTACCTTCCTGCATTCCTTTCCTACCTTCCTTCCTTACTTTTTTCCTTTCTTCCTTTCATCTCGTCCTTCCTTCCTTTTTGCCGTCCCTTCTGCCTTCCTTCTTTCTGGTTTTTATAATATACATACACATATATAGTCACTGGATACTTTCATATAACTGCTATTATCTTCATTCAGCAAGCTTGTCTTGTGTGCGAGTGTGTGGCTTCTAATTGTTTTGAGTCAGGGTCGGCAGCTGTCAAATATGACATATTTCCATTATTACTCAACTTCCCCTACTGCCTGTCAAACAATGGGTCGGATGCTTGCTTCCTCATCCATCCTATCTAATTACTCTTCTCCCTATATTCTTCTCTCTCTTCTCCCATTCTTCTCCATTCTCCTTCACTGATTATTCTCCTTCATTCTTCATTCTCCTTCACTGTTCATTCTCCTTCATTCTTCATTCTCCTTCATTCTTCATTCTTCTGGTATCCTGGGCATTGGTTTTGGTCGCAAACTCCTCAAAACCATGAAATTAATCTTCACTGACACTTCCATCTGTGTTAGAGCATCACTTGGGAAGAGTAGAGTCTCTGTCTATCTGTCTCTGTCTATCTGTGTCTGTCTCTTCCTTTGTCTACCTGTCTCTGTCTATCTCTTTCAATGTCTTTGTCTATCTCTGTCTTACAGGTACACATAAATACAAGTATATGTAGTGTAAATTACCTAGGATAACCCAAAAAATCCAGACAAAGTGCTATACTCTGCTTGAAGATGTGAGTAAAGGTGATGACGCAGTCTTGTGGCTCTCTCCAAGACAGAGAGCTAGACAGATACAGATAGACAGGGAGCTTGACAGACAGACAAATAGACAGATAGAAATGTTTGTGTACCAGCAAAAGCAAAGCGAGGGCGATGCTCATCAAATGTCACCTCTAATCTTTTCTTATCAGCTGCCCCACCCCACCCTCGTGTATGCTCATCAAACGTCAGCTCTTATCAGATGTTATCTCATCTTATCATGTCAATGTCAGGGGTGGACTTTGTTTTTCATGCTTCAAGGGAACTTATTATTACCTATTATTATTATTATGTATTCTTCTTCTTCTCCTCCTCCTTCTTCTCTTCCTCCTCCTCCTCCTCCTTCTCCTTCTCCTTCTCCTCCTCCTTCTCCTCCTCCTCTCTCCTCTTCTCTCTCCTCCTCCTCTTCCTCCTTCTCCTCTTCCTCATTCTCCTCTTCCTCCTTCTCCTCTTCCTCCTTCTCCTCCTCCTCCTCTTCCTCCTCCTCCGGGGGTGACATGGACCTGTTTTGCATGGGCCTGTAGGCCTGCTGCAGTGTTCTTTCTTTCTTATGTTCTTATGTATTCGGCTGGCTAGCTGGCTGGCTTTGGTGTTCTCTGTCTGTATCTGTCTATATCTCTGTCTGTCTATATCACTGTCTATTTGTATCTCTGTCTCTCACATGTACTCATAAATACAGTTATTATACATAATGTAAATTACCTAGGATAACCCAAAAATTCCAGGCCAAGTGCTATACAGTGTTTGTAGATCTTTTTCTTTCAACACACCGGCCGTATCCCACCGAGGCGGGGTGGCCCAAAAGGAAAAACGAAAGTTTCTCCTTTTACATTTAGTAATATATACAGGAGAAGTGGTTACTAGCCCCTTGCTCCCGGCATTTTAGTCGCCTCTTACAACACTCATGGCTTACGGAGGAAGAATTCTGTTCCACTTCTCCATGGAGGTAAGAGGAAATAAACAAGAACAAGAACTAGTAAGAAAAATGGAAGAAAACCCAGAGGGGTGTGTATATACATATATGCTTGTACATGTATGTGTAGTGTGACCTAAGTGTAAGTAGAAGTAGCAAGACGTACCTGAAACCTTGCATGTTTATGAGACAGAAAAATGGACAGCAGCATTCCTACCATCATGTAAAACAATTACAGGTTTCCGTTTTACACTCACTTGGCAGGACGGTAGTACCTCCCTGGGCGGTTGCTGTTTACCAACCTACTACCTAGGAGTGTTTGTAGATATAAGACATAAATAAACAAGATGCAAATAATGGCAATGTCACTTGCTCACCAATCAGGGAGCGGCACATACACCACAAACCAACAGGTTTACTAGCCGCTCCCTGAGACAGAGACAAGCAGATGGAAAGACAGACACACACAGGTAGACAGAAAGACAGATAAGCAGAACTAGGCAGACAGATAAGCAGAGCTAGGCAGACAGACAGATAGACAAATAGATGTACAGATAGACAGACAGATAGATGTACAGATAGACAGACAGATAGATGTACAGATAGACAGACAGATAGACAGACTGACAGACAGACATACAGAGATATGTTTGTGTGCAAGAGTAAAAACATAAAGGCAAGGTCCCCCCTCCAACAGCACACATTCATCAAATGTCACTGTTATCTGACGCTGTCATAACACAATTATTTAAGGAGCTCATATTACACTCCAGGCACACACAGAAGATAGAAAGACAGATAAGCTGAACTGGACAGACATATAAGCAGAACTAGGCAGAGAGACAGATAGACAGACACACAGATAGGCAGACAGATAAATGTACAGATAGTAGGTTGGTAGACAGCAACCACCCAGGGAAGTACTACCGTCCTGCCAGATGACTGTGAAACAAAAACCTGTAACTGTTTTGCATGATGGTAGGATTGCTGGTTTCTTTTTCTGTCTCATAAACACGCTAGATAATAGGGATATCTTGCTACTCCTACTTACACTTTGGTCACACTTCACAGACACGCACATGCATATATATATATATATACATACATCTAGGTTTTTCTCCTTTTTCTTAATAGCTCTTGTCCCTTTTTATTTCTTCTATTGTCCATGGGGAAGTGGAAAAGAATCTTTCCTCCGTAAGCCATGCGTGTCGTATGAGGCGACTAAAATGCCGGGAGCAATGGGCTAGTAACCCCTTCTCCTGTATACATTTACTAAAAAAGAGAAGAAGAAAAACTTTATAAAACTGGGTTGCTTAATGTGCGTGGATGTAGTGCGGATGACAAGAAACAGATGATTGCTGATGTTATGAAGGAAAAGAAGTTTGGATGTCCTGGCTCTAAGCGAAACAAAGCTCAAGGGGGTAGGAGAGTTTCAGTGGGGGAAATAAATGAGATTAAATCTGGAGTATCTGAGAGAGTTAGAGCAAAGGAAGGGGTAGCAAGTAATGTTAAAAAGATCAGTTATGGAAGGAGAAAAGAGAATATGAATGTGTAAATTCAAGAATTATGTGGATTAAAGTAAAGGTTGGATGCGAGAAGTGGGTCATAATAAGCGTGTATGCACCTGGAGAAGAGAGG